TGGCTGAAATATGGCGAGCAAAAAAAAGAAAAATAATATAGTACATTTAATTAATTAAATATAGCAATGAAAATATAACAATTTTCGTAATTTTATATTAAAAATGAAAAGCAAATTATATTTCCGAAGTAATATTACAAAATAACGCGAATTAATTACAAAATAACGCGAAAACATGAAAATAAACATAATTTTTGTTTTTTGGTATATTTAGTTCACCTTTGCAATACGATCAAAATGGGGCAGGTTTTTTCGAAAGAAGAAACATCAAAGAAGACAACAAAAAAAAATTTAGCTAATTACCTCGTGGAACTTTCTGGAACTAAGTTTCAAAAGTCATTCAGGCATTGTAAAATGCCAAATGATAAGATGTAAACTATAAGTTTGTCAAGAGTATTAACTAATCCAACAAATTGAAAAATTGTACTATAATTTCAGACTAATTACTCAGATAAAATTGCAACAGTAAGATGAAATTCCAATATATATTTCTGAAATAAAAACTTGAAAGTTACGTTTAAAAAAAAATTTTAACATATTTTTCATTACATTGTAGTCTCGTCGGTCCAAAAAGTGAATTATAATGTTTGGAATGATTATGAATACTTAATTTGGGCTGTATTAAAACTGCTTACACATATTTTAGTTGTAAATTTAATTTTTGACTTTTGGCCAAAGATCATGGTCTTCTGGCCCACAGTGATATGTAGGGATTCCTTTTTATCTTAATCTATTTTTCTTAATTTTAAGCTAAACGAGTGTTAGATTGAATTACTAATATTAGAATTTTGTTAGCAATAACGGATTTTGATTCGTAAAACTATTAAGATGTAGGGATTATTTTTTAATCATAATTTTTTGAGCTAAAGAGTGTTCTATTGAATTACTGATGTAAGAATTTTATTAGCAATAACAGCACTCAATTCGCAAAAATATCAAGTTCTTTTTTTAAAATCTTTATCACTATTTCTTAATTTTGAACTAAAAGAGTGTTCTATTGAATTACTGATGTTGGAATTTCGTTACGAAAAATGATTTTTGATCTTTAAAAATATAAAGATGTAGTGATATTCTGACTCAATGTAATCTTACTTTTTCAATTTTCTTTGAATTTTTAGATTTTCTATCAACTTTTCTTCCAATTTTTCTAAAAAAAATTTTTTAGTATTTTTCCAATAACTTTTTTTTAAATTTATTTTAATGTCTAGTTCGAATTTCTCTTCAAATTATTCTCATAATAAAATTGCAAAAATAGTTTCAAAAATAAAATTATTGGTCAGTTGGAATTTCAATAAATTAATATGATTAGGAGTGTATCACATCGAAAATAATGAATGTAAATAGTTTTTATTGTTTGTTAAAATAAAGTTAGTTAATTTTTTTTAAAAAGGAGCCTTGAAGTAAGTTTATCTCGCCAAGTGGTCAAAAAAGGATTGGGGATTAATGGTCTTAAAACATAAAAAATAGACGGCCAGCTGACAAATGTCACTTAGAGAAAAGTTCCCGAAATTTTTATATTTTATGCGCCATTATATTTAGATCAAATTTGCTTTTTGTGGAAGTATGAGCGTTATATTTTTCTTTAAAGTATTCATATATACCAAAAACTTCTTGGAACATATTTTAAGAATATTTATCTATGTCCAAAACAACCAATGTAAGACATTAAACGTAATTTATTGGATACTTAATTAAATAATATTCTGAACCACAATATTTATTTAGAATTGGCTTAGTATGCAAAAATTGACATGATATTTTCTAAAAATATTCATGAATGTCGAAAAATATTAATCAAACATTTTTTGAAAATTTTATTTTTGTCAACTACACTCCTCAAAAGTGAAATTGCAACACCAAGAAATAATGCACGTAGCGTCATGCAAATTTTAGGAGCGATAGTAATGAGATGGATATGCAAATGATTAAATTTGCGCACGCATCTGATCACGTGGTACGCATATTCGGGCTATAAAAGCCAGCAACTTTCCTTTCTCATAAACGGCATCTGAGGTTTTGCGTAGCATTTGCGACTTTCGAAAAAGCGTAGAAAATGCCTCTGAGACGTCGGCGAGCTCAATACCATCAGTTAACGACCGGGGAATGTGACCGTATTATCGAACTCCATGAACTTGGTTTGTCGCTGCGCGCAATAGCAACTCGTGTTGGGCACAACGTGAGTACCATCCAACGTCGTGTCACACGATGGATTCAGGAAGGTCTACGTACACGCCGAAGAGGAAGTGGTGCGCACAGGTGCACGTCAGAGCGCACAGACCGGCGTATTCGCCAGTCGACTATTCGAGACCCTTTCTCCACGGCACGTGCCATCCGAAGCCGGTTGCCTTCAGGAGCAGGTGGATCTGTGTCCACCCAAACCATACGCAACAGATTGCATGAAGTACAGTTACGTGCACGGGTACCAGCAACAGGGGTACCGTTGACCGCTTTACACAGGGCTAGACGCCTGGCGTGGTGTCATCGTCATCGTACCTGGACCATCCAATGGCATCGGGTATTGTTCACGGATGAATCTCGTTTCTGTCTGTGGAGAAATGACGGCCGTCGACGGGTATGGCGGCGACCCGGAGAACGCTACGAACCAGCCCATTACGCCGAGCGTCACAACGGTCCTACACCGGGCATCATGGTTTGGGGTGGCATAATGTTTGATCGCAGAACGCCCCTGGTACACATTCACGGCAGTTTGACAGCGGACCGCTACGTCACACAAGTTGTGTATCCCGTTGTTCTGCCCTTGTTGCAGGGCGCACCCAACACGGTTTTCCAGCAAGACAATGCCAGGCCGCATGTCGCACGGCGAACTCTTAACAGCCTGACTGGATTTGACACCCTTCCCTGGCCGGCAGCCTCTCCAGATCTGAATCCCATAGAGCACCTATGGGATCTCATTGGACGTGGCATGAACAAAGAACCAATGGCGCAAACCATCGATGATCTGCGCATAGCAGTGGATGTGGCTTGGCAAAGGTTACCTCAGGCAACCATCAATGGAGTCATTGATAGCATGCCTCGCCGGATTGAGGCCTGTATAGCTGTCCGAGGAGGCCACATTAGATATTGAATAAATTGCTTTATAATGATTTTATTAGTCTGTTTTTTAATCATTTGCATATCCATCTCACTACTATCGCTCCTGAAATTTGCATGACGCTACGTGCATTATTTCTTGGTGTTGCAATTTCACTTTTGAGGAGTGTATATTTCAATATACTGGGTATCCAGTAAATTAAACGATAGTGACAAATTTCTAAGGGAGATAAGACATATCATAAGGATCAAGAATTGCATTAGAACCAATACCTGGAAATGTGATCTTACACCGCTAGGGGCACTTTCCTATTATGGACATGTTATTCATGCGCCTTTAAACCTGCACATTTATTTATCTAAAATATCTTTCTTCTATTTATCAAAATTGGCTGAAAAATAGCTGTTTTATTGAAATTTAATCATTTGGCGAGCTTGTCCAGCTAGTCGCCAAATCATTCAATTACGATAAAACTGCTAACACTGAACCTATTTGGATGTAATTTTCGACAATAATTTAAATATAACGTTCACTCTCCACCATTTGAACCACATTTTCAAGGTAGAAAGCTATCCACCATGAAAGCTAGAAAACTTATGAACCAAAGTCTACCTAACATAGCTGAACAAAAGGCATTAGGTTCGATTTTCCCTCAATCTAATATCATTTTTATGTTGATCCGGATTTTTGGGAAAGTATGCACACCATCGGAGACAAAGACTCAATTGTTATTTATCTCACTATCTAAATTTTTCCTGCGATTATTGCTAATGTAACCTCAGTTGAATTACGGTGTCTATGTGTTTCCATCACTGCCATTTGTTGTGCTCATGATGGTATATCAATTTAACACAGAAACACGTATACGTTATATTATAAAATTTCACTACGATTCTCAAACATTGTTTCTAATCAAATTCAATTTTCTCGCAAATGACTATTCTCGGTATTTTACAAACTCAATTGCCGTATTTTACAAAATCCAATTACCGTAAACCACACTATTCAAACCACGTGTTTCTGTTTGAAATAGTTCTCGAAATGAATATAGATGGCAGCACAAAGTCACGTGATTAATAAATATGTTTATATATGAACATAAAACATAATATATATTTATGTTTTATGTGTTTTGCAGCTTAGTTCTCTATGTATCGATGTCGCAATAAAGTTGTCTCTTAAAACCGGCATGTTAATTATTGAACAATTGATTCTTGAGAAGGAATCCCTTATACCCTAGGCATTTTATTTTCTGAAGAAGGATAAAAAAAAAAATCCAGTGTCCAAAATGGCTTAGTAAAGCCATTTTGGATGCATAATTGAAAAAAAAGGAATGCTTTATGTGATTTTGTAGTAGCAAAACGCCATTATATTACCATCCATTGTGTAACATGCTGACTCTTAGAAATTTTGTATGTCTCTACTAAATGCGATATTTATATTTTGAAACATTAATTGATTATTTGTTCATTAAGGTCCCAAAAATCCCCGATGATTTAAAAAATTAACTTAAACAAAAAAGGAAGGTTGATAGCTGCGTGAGGCTTAGTATTTGTTCTCAAAAATTTCCAAAATTAGTTACAAAGCTTGTTAAAAATGTGTTGCTGACTGAAATGTGTTGCTGTTGACTGACTATAAGGCAATGTTACTATTCTAACTGAAATAAAGACATTTTAACAATAACCACTCACTAATTCAAATTAAATTTCATATATGCTTCTATTAAGCAAATGCTTTATAGAAGCGCCATCTATTGATTAACTTAGCAACTAATTTGGATACTTGGTGAAAATATAATCTTTTTTTCAATTATGTTAATTAGCAAAGCACAGCAAAAAGTTCATTTTTATCTTCTTACCTTTTTCTTTAATTTATAGTCTATTCCTAATAATTTGCCCACACGATATACAACTACATTTTTTTTAAAAACTTGAATAAAATGCAACTCTTTTCAAACAAAAATTTTATTGAAGCATCTAATATGACGAAAATTACATCATAAATATTAACCATTGAATGATATAAGTCTTGACATATTCTTTAAACTATAAATTTCATAGCAAAATCTGCTATGTATTTTTTTGGAAAAACAAATCACTAATCTTTAGAAACACAACAATATTCATTAAATTAGTTTTTTATAATTTTAAAAACCAAAGATTGTAATAACGCTAGAAGTGAAAATGAACAGAATCTATTTACACTAATTACAAAGTGAAAGATACATGATGTGGTTTTTCTGATCAATAAACGAAATTATAGCTGTATTTTTATAAATACAATAATTCACAAACAAGAAACAAAACTACAATAGTAAATTATCAATTTATCATCACTCTATTTTTCTACAATAATAATTTAATTTTGATTTTTGTAATATGTAACTTACATTTGTAACATCGAAGAAATTACGAATATAATTTTTTTGTTCAAGTATTGCACTTGTAACATCAATATTTTACTTTTTTTCTTCTAATCAATAGTCATAGAATTTAATTAAAAATAAGAAATAGGATATGATCTTAATTATTCAAAAAAGATTGAAAATTATGCAAGTGAATTGCAAAATAAAAATAAATAAATAAAATAAAAACATTTAATTTTGAATTAAAAAATTGAATTGAGTTTGTTTTTAAACTTAACACCTCAGTTATTAAGCAAATGCTTAATAACGTTTTTTTAATTAAAATTATATACAAAAATCACAATATTTTTGGAACTGTTACAAAAGCTGTTAATTCTTGTGATTACATTGCAAACAAAGTATTAAATGAGAAAAAACCTAGACTGGCTTTTTCTTTTTATCCTTATTCCTGTTAAGTTGAGATTGAAGAAACTAATCTTCTTTTGTCATTTCTTTTTCAAGTCTAAATCTGACTTGAATATTAAAAAGTCACGGCTCGTAAGCAAACAAAAACTCTATGAATAGATTATTGTACACAAAAGCTATAAAGGTGTTTCGAAATCCTTAAAGGGATTTTGAAATAAATTTACTAAATCTGAATTAATGACTGACTTAAATCATTTTACTCGTTGGATTGGAGCGAAACGCTGATGGTTTTTTTTCTTCAAAATTATACAATTATTTCTACCTTGTGAAAACGAAATTTCTATTTTTTTTTCACTTACGCGGTAAAACCACTATGAAGATGTCAATGTAACATTTTACTTAAGTTACACTCAGGTTTTAATTTGAAATGCTAGTTAATATGAGGCTATTTGTTTGGACTAAAAGTAGTAATTGCTAAACCCGAAAATGGCTGGAAATTGCTAAAAAAAGATTTAAAAAAGGCTGTTTACACAAGATTTTTAAATACTTCGTCCATTTGTATAAAAGAAGATTGTCTTTTTTTTCTTGCATAAGTGTTTCATATTGCAGAAACAAGATAATTCTTCTTATCACACTAATGTTTAAATCTCAGGCTAAAGTAATTGTTGGTAACAGAAAGAAATATTCACTTTGTATAAACATTACTATTTTTTATATTGTTGTTTTCAGTCAATAGACCACTTTTTGTGGTCTGAAATAATATTCAATTGCTACCCTGAACATAAACGCAACTTAGCTTTTTTCAAGAAGATTATCTCTTTTCTTGGCAATTTCATTTTTTACCAAAGCATCCCGCCCCTGTCTGTGCGTGTAACATTGAGAAACATGCAACTTTTTAAGTGAAATGTAGTTTAAAAGTTCAAGTTGCATGAAGTTTTTTGGATTATATGTAGTTTTCAGGCACTTTAGTTGCCTCCTTTTTATTACATGTTTTTGGATTACATGTAGTTTTCAGGCACTTTAGTTACCTCCTTTTTATTACATGTTTTCGGATTACATGTAGTTTTCAGGCACTTCAGTTACCTCTTTTTTATTGAGGCGTGATAAGATTCTTGAGCATCATTTTTAGATGCACAAGCACAATTCAGTGTGAAAAACTTAGTTTACATATTTTGGCACTTACATTATTTACTACTTTTAGTCTTCAAATCAAAAATCTATATTAACAATTCAGTATTATTTTTAAAGAACTATCTAATGTGAGTAATTGATCTTATATTTAACCAAGTAACATTTGTAATTGTTTACTTCATAAAAAAAATATCAATTTTACAAAGGGTCGAAGTTTTCCATTAATTTGTTTTCTTTAATATCCCAATCTCACAGAGTTAGGACATTAAAATATCTATTATTAAATCATTCAAACAGCAAATAATTTCATAGAATGAGGTAATGTACAAAGTTCACTCAATATTCAAACGTAGTTTCGTTTTATAAAAAGAAACTGGCATTAATTGAGCGTAATTAGTTTTATGAATAGCACTTAATATAGTTTAAATATTTTCAAAGTTTCTTCTCCTTCATTTGGTTCAGTTTTCAAGTGAGATTAAGTTGTTTTACTGAGGAACTATCAAACTTCTCCTGTAATGCATAGTTGACAACGAATTAATCCACTTTCATCACACGTGACACATCGTAGAGCGACAAGGTCTTCTGAAAAATGATGTCTGTGAGTAACGGACTTTTTACTTCCTCCACATATGGGACATAATAGATAACGGTATCCACCGCATTGTTGGCACACACCACCTACAGATTGCTTCTGCAAAAAAATTAAAAATATTTATTTTAGAGATAACGATTCATGAAATCAAATAACACGTCGGTCAAAAAGTCCCCAGTACTACAAAGAACAAATATGTGTGTTGGCTACAGGGACTAATATAGGTCTTTATATCTATACTTGGTTAGTACAGACTAACTCATAAATTGCATCAGTAAAAACAAAATGTGTGTTAGATAGTACAGAGCAACTCACAAATGGCACCAATAAGCACAAATCGATACTTGTTTTGGATAGTGCAAACTAACCAACCGATATAGCGCCACTAGAATTAAATCGTTACGTGTGTTGGATAGCACAGACTGAAGGCCTGTTTATATGGTCCAAGTTCTTGGACCAGGAATGATTGCAAAAAAAAAAAAACGAAATTTGCTTCACTTGAAGCTTAGCTCGTGTACACGATCATTGAAGTTTTTGGTTCAAGCAATTGGATTATAGTAGAGAATGCTCTATTTTCCATCCCAGTTTTTCCTTCCATAACCAATCAGCTTTTAAAGTTTCATGACGTCAGCGAGTGTGCATATGATCATTTCTTTTTGTTCTCTGATTTCCTAGATTCGAATCTAAATAAATTAATCTGTTAGGATCCATTTGAGTCATAATGATTCTATTTAATTTTATTTTGTAATTTTGTCGTCATGCAAGTTTGATTATTATAATCTGGAACATGAACAATGCGCATGCGCAGAATTTCTACCGACTAATCAGTGACTTCAAAAACTTAGGTAGTGTCAATGAATCATCTAGTTTATTGGACTGAAAAATTGTTCCAAGTTCACGGATTCAAGAACTTGGACATAAATAAGCTTTAACTCATCAATGACACCACTAAAAACTAATCGATACGTCTGTTGGACAGTGCAGCAAATGGCACCACTAGAAACGAATTGATATGTGTGTCAGAAAAAACTGACCTTCAAAAGATACTATCCAAATTTCATGAGATCTGATCATTATTTATTGATTTATCGAAGTTTCAGTTAGAAGTTTTGGTCGAATTAGGAAGAAGATAATAAAAATTTTCATTTGTTGATCAAACACTTTGTTTTATGGACTAATGTACCCATTACTATCAAAAGTGGTTTGAAAAGTATAAGGAATTTCTTTTGTCTGAAGCTGCCCTTTGTCAGTAGTTTGTTGTGTTAAAATTGGTTTATATAAGTAAAGATAATGCAGAACGTTTCGGAGTCCAAATATTGTGATTCCGTCACAAAACATAGAAAAAGAAAACATTCAAAAATTTATTAAACAACCGTAAAGTTAAGTTGAAAGTGATATGTAACATCCTAAATATATCAAAAAGCAGCGTTTGCAATATTTCGACCGAAAATTTTGCAAAGAAAAAGAAAAATTTTTTCAGGGAAATTTAAAAATATGTCAAGAAAATAAGCAACATCGAAGTTGAGTGTGTGTGTTTTCCCGATTTCCTCCTCTGCTTTACGGGATTTTATTTTAATCATGTATTGTTGTGTCCTCATCTTCATTGCAAAGCTTCTTCTGTTTCTACAAAATGTCTTGAATCCGAGTGCATTATTATTAACACATTATTATTAACATTATTAAAGAGATTGAAACGTGAACTGTAGCAAAATAAATTATGAAAAAAGTGCAAAAAATTTCACTGCAAAAAAATTCTATTAAAATAAAGGAGAACTTGTGCCTAAATTTATTTATATCAATAAAAGAATATTTTTCTTCCTTCTATCACTATAAGATATTGCTATTTTAAAACAAAAAATAACTAATTGATTTAATACTAGGCATTCCGTCTTCCCTAATACGCCTTTAATTTTCCAAGTGATCTTATCACCCCCTTTCTATATATTTTCAGAATTTTATTTCAAAAATGAAACACAAGCTTGCATACCAAGCTGATATTTAAGCGATGAAAAAACAAAAATGGTATCATAACCTGACGAACTATTGTGTTGGTAGAAATAAAAAACATCAAATCCAGGCTGCCGTAAAAAACTAAAAGAAGTTTTTAATAACTGAGTGTCGCAAGCAGACAAAGAAAAAGTTACCTTTTTCAATATCGTTCATCAGGTTTAAAAAATTTCGTAAATCAAATAGGCGTAGTAATGGTACGAGATTCTCCTCACTTTTTTTTTCTCCATTTTCACAGTTACAGCAAATCTTGCTTTTCCTTCATTGAGGAGAGTTTTAGAAAGAAGGTGGAGTATAATGGCGTGGGAGAAAAGGAAGATTTATCGTTACTATGGTAACGGAGAGGGAAAAGTGTGGAGAGTGGGGAAACTATGTGACCTTCGGACACCTATTCTATTTACAAGGAGTAGAATAAAGTTTTTGTTTTTCGCTTGCTTTCAAATTAATTTGTGATATTATTAATGTGTATGATGCAAAATTAACGTGTGGATTTCTTTCCACTCCTTTTTTGTCAAGATTTCCAAAAATAAAATAATAAGGGTATTAATTACGAAACACTCTGTGCTGAAAATAGCACTCTATGCATTTTATTATACAAAGGCATTTTATTATTTAATTAAATATTAATCAATCAATGTTATAAAATTGTATTAGTTATAATTATTAGCAATATTTCTATAAATTCATCGGCCTCGCATGGTTATGAGAAATTCGTTTTCCTTTAAAAAAATCTTACACTAAATTTATGTTTATGAACATTATTTGTTTCGTCTGTGGTTAGAAAATGTGTATTAATTATGATAGAGTTAGGAAATTTGTCAAAAAAAAATTTATTATCATTTTTTTTTTAATTAGTATATAAAATAACTAAGTATACTTACTTTATATGGCCGTAAAAGCTCTCTTAAATGTCCTATTTCATTCAATTGCTCAATTACTTCAGCAGTCTGAAAAGGAAATTCTCATTTCAGTTGAAAGGAAAATTGTCTTTTGTTAGAAAAATATTTGTTAAGGACATGTATCATTTTCAAATAAGATTCATTTAATCGCTTAACCTTTTCAGGACTGCGAACACTTACTTATACGTGATCGCGCAATTTTACCTACGCATAACGAGAGCCTTCTTGTTTTTAACACACCGAGATGACACGGAAGGGATCTCAATCCGGTACTTTCGGATTGCCTCTCGTATTAGTATATAAACTACCCTACAATAATGGAAGAGACACTTTCAGTTTTTGACATTTTTTAAAATTTCTCAAGAAGTACTTAAAATATTATCTTATAATTTAGTTCATGCGATTTGTCATACTTAACAATAAGATTTAAAGCTTTCAGAGGCTTGGGAGCCCGACAATAAATTACGAAAAAAACAAGTATTTTTTAACACCCTATATCTGAAACTCAAGCAATAAGCTTGTGTCTGGTATCAATTACTTAAGTTGCTATTTTTAATATCTGCATAAATTTTCGTAAACCTAGCGCAAATATTTATGGAGGTAAGGACATTTTTATAAAAAAAACTAATTTTTCTGTCTTTTATTTTGCTATATCTTTAAAAATATTCAATGGGATTAAAAAAAATTTTTGGATCAATTTAAAATTAGTGACAAAAAAATTTATTTAAATTTTAAAAAAAATTGTTAAAAACTGCGCAAGATATGAGTATTTGAAGTAGTTCTTTTTAATGAAAAGAATAGACGAAGTTTCCAATACCTTTTCACGTCTTTGGTGCTTAAAACTAATGATATTCTGAAAGCGTTGTCTTATTACAGCAATCAACGACCATGAAAATTTCTTAACGGACTCTAACATGCAAATAAGATACACGGTTGGTTGTTAACGTACTTCACCTTTTATTACCTAGAATCCTCAATCGTGTGTCCATTTTCTCACGAGATTGCTCAAACGAGTATTATATTTATGTAAGTGATTGTGTTAAATGACAATCATACGAAACTTTTTTATTCAAACTGTATTATTAACAGTGTATATTTCCCAAAATAACTGAGCTCAAGACACAACACAAGTTTTGTGGTCACTTTCTTAAAAAAAAAATAAAACAAGTTTTGTAAGCTTTTCAACGAAGTCTTTTTCAAAGGGGTAGTTTTAATTTTTATAGCCTTCTAAAATATTTACATTCATTTGTTTTATTAGTGTTTGTTTCTAGTGAAAACTGAAGATTTACAGAGTTATTTTATTGCTATTTATTATATTTCTTTCTGACATGTTCTGAAATTTGTTTCAAAAAAATAATAAAAAGAATTAAACTTTTTCATGGATCATTAGTCATGTCAAGTCATTAACCGGTATTACTAATTTTCTAGATTTTTAAAATAAATTTAAGTATTTAATTATGTTAAAGAAACTAAGAATGTGCACTACCTACAAATGGCACGGCCAAGGCTGAACTAGATCCGTAATTTAATTGTTACGCAACAGGCTGTAACAATATTCTAAAATGGATCGCTATGAGAGCATGATTGCTTCTGGAAGGTTGACAGCGCCCTCTATTTAAAAAATAGTTGATTGGCTTCTATTTTTTTTCTTTGTAAGTAAAAGGAAATTTGTAAAATTGAAAATTTCGATTTCTGAGTTATTAAGCATTAAATAAGATTCATTATATAAATGAAGACTTTTAAAATTATTGTTAAAATAAAAATAAACAAAAGATGTTAAAATAATGGTTTTAAAAATAAAAATAAATAAAAGACAGACGATTTTACTTTCTGATGGATTAAAAGCTAAGGTTTTATCAATTATTTGAAATAAACCATTTTTTTCTGAAGAAACATCCTGTTTCTATAATTTAAATGAAATCGTTTCTTTATTTGTCACTATCACTTAGAAATCGAACAAAACAACAAAAAGAAAATTAGAAAGTTATGTTCATTATAAATATAATTTGATACATAGAGTGAAAATTATGTATATAAATGTATTATTATATAAATGTATTATGTATATAAATGTATGAAAATTATGTATATAATTATGTATATAATGTAATTATGTCCTATGGAGAAACAGAAATTTCGAGTTGAGTTGTACAATCAGATTTATCTAGTTCACCTGTGGTAATGTTTCAGCCTGTATACCAACGGTTACGATCATATTACGAGTTGCAAATTCAGCTTTGGCATGACGCACTATTTTGCAAAAATTTATTGACAATTGTTCCCCCGGGACAATTTCCCTCCATGAGTGAGGCCTCATTTGAGCTTTATACTAGGTATAATAAAAGACATTGTTGATTAAAAAAAACACGATGAAAATTTTTTTAAAAACGTTTTCTTTTCAAAATGAAACTACTTAAATAATTCAAAATAAATGTTCAAGAAATAGCAGCACTCTAAAAGGCAAGATTATCTTTCTTTAATAATTTTGTACATATATGTTAGTAATTTTTCCAACAAAATAATACCTATTAATATATTTCATGTATTGCATTATTTAAAAACGATGGGAGCAATAACGCTGATATTTAAGTAATACCCAGAAGGCGAGGACGAATGGAGTACTTACTGCAAAATATGTTTGGTAAATACTAAATAGTTAATTTAAAAGGTGTAAATGCTTAAAAAAACACATTACACTTTCTTATTCTTAGAAATACAATGAAATTGTGAGAAAAAAAAGATTAAAATTTCTTTGTTAGCAAAAGGGAAAAAAATGAAATTATATCCAGTATTCTGCCCTGCCCGGATCCTAAGGAAAATTAGTTAAATGGAAACAAAGGAAAATATGTTTGCATTATTTGTGAAGTTATTTAAGGGTTGGTTTTAAGTGGTCTAACGCATAAGCTATTACTAATATATTATTTTTATTATGAACTATATTTAAACAAAAGCGATTATTTTCTAAAAAAGCAATGGATTACAAATATAAATATTAGACAGAATGGAGTGGGTTCACTATTCTAGAATCTTTCAATATTAAGATTCAGGTTTAAATTTTAAGACAAAAATATTGTTCATAAAAAATTTTTATGTTTCAGATATTTAATTAAATCGCGAGACTCAAATTAAACTAAAAACTTTCAAAAAATACAATTTATAAAATAATTGAGTCATATCTCCTGGGCATTGCCGCTCATTTTGGTTATTTGTTTTAACATCGAATTATCTTTTTGCAAAATTTATTTAAACTTTTTTTTTTTTGCTTTTTAATCAAAATCATTCTAAATTTTAAAGAAGTAAAGGAAACAAAAATCAATAACCGAATAATTCCGCAATAGATATATACAATTCTGGCTAATTTTAATGATGGTGAGAATTTTGGTTTCGGCGTAAAAATTAATCACATATAACAACCCGGAAATCTTATTTCTTTTCGCCATTAATACCACCGGTGATTAGTTTTATACAGTTAAGCAATTGTAAAAGGAAAAAGAAAAAACTCGAAGCATCTCAAAAAAATATTTTTTAAATTTTGAAATCCATGGGAGAGCAGTGCTCATATTGCTTTTATCTATCTAATCTGAAATCAAACTCAAATCCGAAATCACACTCAATATATTTCTGCAATAACAAATTGCTTAATTCTTCTTGTTCAGTTTTAAAACATGAGTTGAAATACACTATAAAGTTCCTTAACACATTTTGTCAGTTTTTCATCTCCAGTATACTTCTTGAATACAAAGTAAGTCTATTATATTCCTCTCACATAGTTCTTTAAAGATTTCAAAATTCATACGAGTACCGGTTTTTTGAGGCCTACGCACGAGAAAGATTCACGCGGAGGCTTCTTTAATTTATAATTTTTCTTTTTATTGTTTTTGTTTCACTATGCTCGTATTCAGAAATTTCCTGAACGCCGATAGCTAATTTAATTTTTTGCAGTGTTACAAATAATCTAAACTCAATGAATATATGTACAATTTTGATATATATATATATATATANTATATATATTAATATTATTATTATTATTATTATTGAAATATATGCGTTAAGGTAAAGGTTATTATATTATATATTATCAAAATGAATATTTATTTCAAATTCATACGAATACCGATTTTGAGGCCTACACGTAAAAAATATTCACTAAAGGTGACACTTACTATATCATTATTATTATTATATCATCATTATTATTATGTCATTATTATTATTATATCATTATTATTATTATATCATTATTATAATTATTATTTACTGTTTTTGTTTAACTATGATACAGTGCTTTCCGAACACTAAGATGATATTGTTGTGTTGTAAATGATTAGAACTCATGGAAACTTTAATATTTATTATAAAAATCTAATATATGTTATTGATGTATGATGTATGTATGTGTTAATGTAAATGTGAAAGTAAATGTTATTAATAATGCATAATATTAAAATGAAAATTCAATAATAATTCAAATTCAATATTAATTTCAAATTCATACGATTACCGGCTTTTGAGGCCTTTTCGTGAAAAATATTCACGTAATTATTATTATTATTTTTTTTTTTCATTATGCTTGCATTCAAAAACTTCTTGAATACCAAGATAATAGTTAGTTTAGATTTTTTCGGTACAGTAAATGATCTGAACTCATTGAAAATTTAATATTTATTAGGCTTACAAATACTTGATTTATAATTCTCTTTCAGGTTGTTTTAGATAAATACTGGTGCGAATTAATAGAAATTTAATGAACAAAGTATGAAAATAAAGGGTTTTCCCCTTAAACATATTTGGCAACATACCTGTTTGTGCATGAAAGAAATATTATAATCTTGTATTCATAATTAAAATTTATATTTAAAAAAAACGTATACCGAATCTCTAAAAAACATATTTCAAAATTAATTAGCTAAGAAATTAAATGTCAACTGTACAACAAAAGAAAACCATTTACGTGAAAGACCATAAATATGGTTAAAAAATTTAAAATTTTGTCATAAAAACTTTAAAATTTGCTACAGAAATTTGTTAAAATGAACTTAAAATTT